GAAAAAAAAAAAACCGACACTGGAAAGTAGATGGAGGAGTAGCCAAAAACGTAGCAGATCTGAGAAAACCAAATCCTATGTCAACAGAAGGAAAAGTCAAGAACTAACCTGACTTTTACTCAGGATTTTCAGTACCAGGTGCCTCTGGAGAAAAACTGCTCAGCACTGGTTGTAGGTCAGTTTAAGATTCAGATTCCCAGATCACTTCTCCCCTTTTGCACAACTGGGCAACCACTCCTCCCCAGCCCTAGGGAAAGACTGGAGGTTATTCTCCAGAAAGGACAAAACAGGATCTTCTGGGTGAACACCGAACACATCTGAGGCAAGGGTGCACTGAAAACAGACACCATCAGCTAAACAAACATTCTTGCCTCCCTTGGCTTCCAGAACACCACCACCCAGGCCTTCCGATTCCAGGCGATTCCAGGCACGAAATGAGTGTAGACTTTTCTAAGAATCCAAGCATTCCAAGAGGAGATCTAAAGACACTGATAATCAGAGATTCCTCAAATAATTAGCCCAGCCACTCACTCTACAGTGAAGCCTGGAGCAAACAAGTCCCATTCACAAGTTCACAGTCTCTACTCAACCCTTCCACTCACTCAGCTTGAGTCTGCAGTATCCGAGAAAAGGTGGGGGATAAGACAAAAATAAAGCCACAGAAAAGCTATTTGTGGGGAAACCATAAATGCATGGAGGAAAAAAACATTTCCTCCCCAAAATCCATATTCTCAGAGAGTTCAGAGACTCCAACACAACCATACGATATAACAAGATGTTGTTAAAAGGAAATATTAAATATTTTTTTTTAATTTTTAAAATTTCTCTCAAATAAAAAACATGACATCTGAAATTAAAAACTCAGCATGAGAGGGGTGCCTGCATGGCTCAGTCAGCTAAGCATCCGACTTCGGCTCAGGTCATGATCTCACGCCTCGTGAGTTCAAGCCCCAAAACAGGCTCTCTGGTGTTAGTGCAAAGCCCACTTCGGATCCTCTGTCCCCTCTCTCCCTGCCCCTCCCCCACTCACACTCTGTCTCTCTCTCTCTCTCTCTCTCAAAAATAAATAAACATTCAAAAAGTTTTTTAAAAAACTCAATATAAGAGATGAAGATAAGGGGCACCTGGGTGGCTCAGTCAGTTAAGCGTCCGACTCTTAGTATCGGCTCAGGCCGTGATCTCTCAGTCCAGAGATCGAGCTCTGTGTCCAGCTCAGGGCTGAGGACTGAGCACTGAGCGTGGAGCCTGCTTGGGATTCTCTCTCTCTCTGTCTCTCTCTC